AACGGGATTACGTGCCCGCCGAGCGGGGGTATTCGCTCTACCTGCGACCGGCCGCTATTTCCATTGACGAAACACTTTCCGTCAAGCCTGCCTCCAAGGTTTTACTCTTTGTGATTGCCTCTCCTGTTGGGCCCTACTATGCCTCGGGCATGAAGCCAGTGAAGCTGCTCGTGGAGGAGGAACGGAGGCGCTCGTGGCCCGGCGGCACAGGCAGTGTTAAAATGGGAGCCAACTATGCAAGCTCCGTACTGGTGCAGAAGGAGGCCGATGCGCAGGGCTACCAGCAGGTGTTGTGGCTTGGTCCCAAGGGTGAGGTGGAGGAGGTTGGTGCCATGAACTTCTTCTGTCTCTGGAGGCCCTCCAACTCCAAGCCCGATCTGGAGCTCATCACCGCCCCACTGGACGGCACAGTTCTTCCAGGCGTCACGCGTGACTCCATTCTCTCGCTGGCGCGCGGCTTCGGCGGGGTGAAGGTGTCGGAGCGGAGCTTCCTCATCGAGGAACTCGTCACCGCCCTGCAGGAGAAGCGGGTGGTGGAGTGCTTCGGCTGCGGCACGGCGGCCATCGTCTCGCCCGTGGAGGCGCTGTGCTACAAGCAGGTGAAGTACGACGTGCCGTGCCCGCCGCCCGAGACCTCCTTCACCCACCGCATGCTCAACACCATCCAGGACATCCAGTACGGCGTGCTGGAGCACGAGTGGTCGCGCGTCGTCGCGTAGGCTGCCCGGGCCCACGCTGGAGAAAACAACACTGCGGCGACAAAAACAACTACAAAACAAAACAAAACAAAACAAAACAAAAAAAAGCAAAAAAAAACAAAAACAAAAAAAACGCGACACCCAAAATAGTGGAAAATAAAAAAAAACGAACATAAAAATTTGTACGTGAAGGGAGAAAACGTCAAGAAGGGAACTTTCCCCTCAGAAAATGAAGACATAACAACAAAAAAAAACAACAACAGCAACAACAATAAAAAAAAATGAGCCAGTCGAAGACAAATCAATGAGTAGGCACACGCGTCACGGTGAGCAGGAAAATCGTGGAGCATTGAAAAAGAACAGAGGGGGGGGGGAACGATAGGACGGAAACTAATTCCGGGGGTAGCGCGCAGGAGGAGTGCCATTCTCGCTGCCGCCACGTATCCGGTGCGGATGAATTCAAAAACGAGGTTGTATGGGGGAATGCAGAGAAGGGAGTGAACGCAGGTGTGACAAAAAAAACGAAAAAGAAAAAGGGATACGAACAGTTCTTTGAAAACTTCCTATTTCTTTGTCGCATCGTTTGTTTTTTTTTCGTCTTTTTTCCCCCTGCTCCCTTTGCTGCTAAAGTGACGCGTTGGGCATATGTTGTTTTAATTAAATTCCAGCCCGGTTTGCTCGTGCCTTGACTTTGTCAACTATTTTGGCATTAACGCCTGCATGTTTTACTTGGACCAGTGGAAAGGCCCATTACTGAACTTCGTATTTACTGATATATTCCTGCTGTACTGAAGCAAACTAGTTTTTTTTTTAATTTACTCTTTGGGGGGTGTGGGAAGGGACGCTTCACAGCGATGGTGAGGGAACGGGGCCGAGGAGTGAACTAGGCATGCATCCAATCCTGACCTTAAGCTGAGTCTGAAGGACGGGACGAAGGAGCAAAGGAGGGCGGCGGTGGCGGTGGGGGTGGCGGAATTTCAAAGCCTGCGCTTGTCCCCGTCTACCGGGTGACTCTCCTCGGTTTCATGTTTGTTTGTTTGTTTTTATTCTTGAATTCTGTGTAAGGGGCTTCGAGTAACGTGGGCCCTCAACTCCGTTTCTTTTTTTTTTGTATGTGTGTGTCTTGGTGCTGTCAGGGCAGCCGTGCATGTCTGCGGTGTCTTCCGCCGTACGTAGTTCTTCCCTTCCGTCTTCTCGCCTCGTGTGTGCGCGTGGCTCTCTCTCGTCCTCTCTCCTTCTCTTTCTTGCGCCGCGGCCTGTCATCGCCCGCGGTGCTGCGCGTGCGTGCCCGGGGGATGTGTGTGTGTGCGCCTCCCAGCAACGGGGCGCGGTTGGGGAAAGAGAGGGCGGGAAATTGCGCGACCCTCAAGAGAGGCGGAGCGCGCGTTCGTGGAAAAAAAAAATAAATTTCGGCCCGAAACAGCCGTCCAGGCACGCTACAGAACCGAACAGAAGCGGGGGGAGGGCAGCGGAATAGAACTCGACTAGATAACTGAAGCCACTGGGTGCGGCGAGGCCGGCTGGACGGTTGCTAGGCGATGCCCGCCGTCCAAACAAACCCGCCAGCAACGCCGCCGGGCCCTCGCTCCGGCGAGAACAAAGGTTTTTTGTACAATTTAGTCTTTGGCCCCGGCGGTGCCGCCACCGTCGCAGGGTCGTGTGAGATCGTCATATTTCATCCCTTCGACACAACGGCGAAGCGGCTCATGTCGCACCACCACACGGTATTCGACCCCACCTCCTTGTCGCAGACGTGGCGGAACTTTATTCAGGTTGTGTTTCGTGGCATTGAGAAAAATAAGCCCGCCGGCGCGCGCGTCACGTTCTTTGATCGCGTGTGGCATTTGTACCCTGGCAGCGCATACGCGGTGGCGTACAAGGTGCTGCAGCGCTTCATCAAATTCGCTGGCCAGCCGTACATGCGGGAATTTTTGGAGTATAAGTTTGGGCGTCTCTCCTTGGGCGATGCTCAGCAGCAAGCGCGGCAGAAGGGCACCCGCCACAAGAAGAACCACGGGGCAATGCTGCTGGAGGCCACTGCGGGTTGCCTCGTCGGCCTCTGCGAGGTGGTACTCCTGCCTATTGATCGGATGAAGGTGCTGAACCAGACCAATAGGGGCGCCATTCAAAACCGCACCTTTTTTACGATCCTCCGTCAAGAAGGGATTGTTAAGATGTACGCCGGCATCGGAACAACCGCGGTGCGCAATGCCCCTGGCTCCTTTCTCTTGTTTGGGGGTGCTGCCTGTACCAAGGACTACGTGTTTAAGCTGGAGAACTACGGCGATGCGACTCTTCTGCAGAACTTTGTGAGTTCCACGGTGGGCAGCTGCCTCGGCGTGTGGTTCACGAGCCCAATGGACGTTGTGAAGACGCGCATTCAAAACAAGCGGTTTGGGGAGGGTCGCGTGACGGGCTGGAGCATCGTGCGGGAGACCCTGCAACAGGAGGGGTTTATGGCCTTTTACAAGGGCATCTCCCCAAAGCTCATCACCTCGGCCCCCCGCCTGGTCTTTTCCTACACCATGACGCAGTTCTTCACTAAGCGGTTTCGTGGGGAGAAGCCCAAGTCATCGTCCGCGCAACCAACATGACACACGAAACAGGCAGGAATCAAAAATCCGCAGGATATATAACGCACATCTGCAAACACAATGCGTGGATCTGATTCTTCCTTTCCCCGTTATGCCTCTTCGCTGTATCTTCTGGAAGGAATCTATACGTGGCTTTTCGCGGTAACGTAGCTGGTAGCGCGTCGTCTCTTGAATACCACTGCCTTATCTTTGGAAAACCCCCCCCCCTTTTTTTTTCTCTATGTGTGCGTGTGTGTATCTGGTGATACCGCGTTGTAAGGCGGCGAGTGGAGCTTTTTTTTAAAAAAAATTAATTTAACCCCCTTTTTTCCTTACACAGCCGCTAGCCGCCACGACGGCCCTCCGCGCGGGGAAAACTGTGGCGGCTGGCGGCTGCGAGGGCCCATAGACTGCCACCCCGTAAGTCCCCAACGAGCCCGGTTTTCATTTAACGGCGTGCGACTTTCGAATTCGTTTGTGTGTTGTTGTGTGTGCGTGTATGTGCGTCTGTGTACGCGGCGTCCCTCCGTTGTGTCGGCTCTTTTTTTGTTTTTGTTTTGTTTTGTTTTGTCTTGTTTTGTTTCCCCTCGGCTCTCGCCTTCTAACAAGGGGGGGGGGGTAACTTGACCGCAGCCAGCCGCAGTATTCCCGTCTCCGCTTTCCTGGTTGTCGAGGTCTGCGATGTGGACGCCATTCCTCTCTCTTCCCCCACGGATTTCTCTTTGTGTGTGTGTGCTGCTGCCGCCGCCGCCGCTGCTGCTGCAGGTTGTTGGGTAGGCGCGGGAGTCATGCGTTCAGCGAGGGCCGATTTGTCGTCCGCGCCGGGCGAGCAACGCTCGACGCTGCGCGTCCGCAACCCGGCCTCCGGTGTCGTGTACCACCTCATCTTCGAGGGCAACCTGCGCAGGCTGACGGGGGCGCAGCTGCGGCTGCACCTCGAGGGCATCTGCCTCGTCCCGGCTGAGCGGCAGCGGCTAACGTTCAACGGCGTTCCCGTCGACAACGAAAGCACCGGGGCCTCGCTGGGGCTGCACGACAGGGCGCTGCTCGAGCTCCACACCGCGCCGCGCGGCGGCCCTGGCGACGTGCTCCTCCGCGGAGCGCAGTACGCGCACCCCGCGGAGGAGCACCTGAACCACAGCGAGCGCAGTGAGCAGCCGCATGGCCTGAGCACGCCGACGACGACGACTGCGTCGCAGCGGACACCAACGCCACGCGCCATGCAGCGTGACGTAGAGGACGCGAGCGCCGAGGTGCGGCATCCGCGGTGGCGTTATGCGTACGGCAAGGATGACTGTGGGGGACCGCGTCTGGCCAGGAATGTGTGTGCCGCGGCACCCCTTTTGGGGGCTCCGCCAGCGCAGACTTTAGAGCCGGTGGATGCCGTCATTGAGGAGGACGCCATCGAGGGCCTGAGCGCCGCGATGATGCCGCTGCATGACGCCGACATTGAGGATGCCCGGCTGGAGCAGATGGAGTACGTGTGGATGATGGAGCAGATGCGGTTTGAGACGGAGCGGATGAATCGTGAGCGGGATCTCCTTCGGCAGCGGCAAGAGCTTGAGTACGAGGCGGAGATTCTGGAGCGGGAGCAGTGCATTGTGGGGCGACGCACGCTGCAGGAACGGCGCAAACTGGCGGAGCTGCAGCAGTGGGTACGGGAGGAGATGGCGGTGGAGGCACGCCTGCTTAACATACGCGACAGTGGCCTCAGCTACGGCAACCGGGACGACGACCACGATGAAAGCATTGACTTGACGGCTCAGGAGGAGCCGCTGAGGTGACACGGCTGCCGCAACGTCATTCCCTTCCCTGTACAAGCAGCCTCCCGCCCCCCTCCCTCCCTCTCCCTCTCCCTCTCCCTCTCTCTCTCTCGATGTGCCTTTGTTGATGCTTTACGGCTTGCTTCCTTTTCCTGTTTGTGCTACGTGAGCAAAATAAAAAAAAAACAACCGCAAGCAACTCGATGCTGCCGACACCGCTCTTTTCTATTTTTCTCGATTATCGTATTTGTTTCCACGCACGCGCCCGATACCAGACTTGTAGGGGGCGTTGATGCAAACCCCCTTGACACCCACCCACGCATCTGCAGCACCTGCTGAAGGAGAACGCAGGAAGTTCTCTCTGTGTGTGTGTGTGCGGTTGCGCAACGGACTGCAGTGCGTCTCATTTTTTGTCCTTTGCTCCTCCCTGCTCTTGCTTGTTATTTACTGCTGCGCCCACCCATTGTGGCGGCCGGGATGAAACCGCAGAGCAAAGCGACAGCACAGGGGAGCGACCACCGCCAACACTGCGTGTAGGCAAGGAGACAGTCCCCATAAAAGATATAAAACAAACAAACAAACGAACACACGCACACGCACACGCGCACGCACACGCGCACGCACACGCACTCACACCTACACCTACACACACGCGGAGGGTGAGTGAGGGGGAGGAGTCACCGTCGCAGGGCAATCAGCA